AAAAAAAAATATATATCAGGTGATACATTATAACCACATGCAAAATTAAAACAAATATTTTTAATGATGTAAAAGCAATTGTCTACTTTTAAAACTACCAGGTGAATTAGTCAAAAATAATGAGTGAAAATAGACACCCATCTTAGATTGAATTTTAGAGAGTATAAAACACAAGTAAAACTGGCTCCTCTTGTTTTCCCCTTTAACTGTCTGTGTTCTGATCTCTTTATGACATCATCTGTCAGCCTCACTGGTCTGAATTTACAATGCTTAAGTCCTGACAAATTATAGGTGGGGGAAATGTCTGTACCAAGATTGTAAGTCTTTTTCTCAAATTTTGTTTTAAAACAACTAAACTACGCTAGTAAGCTTTATACTTAGTCTCTTTAATGTAAAGAGATGTTTATTATATTATTATGGTATTGATGAAATGAGAGAAATTGGTTGGCAAAGATATATATTCTCAAGCAACATCCTATGTTGTTTTAGTTTGAGACATAGTTAATTCTTGCACTTCAGCAAAATAGCTACATGGTTTTGAGGTAGTCTTTTTAATTATAATTCTTCCTTTTTTGTGTTTTGAGAATTTCTTTGGAGTTCTATGATTCAGTAAAATTTTGGGGGTTTAGATTGGCATCTAAACAAGATTTTTTCCTAGTAATAAATAAGTCATAGATGGAGACAGAAATAGTCACAGATACAGATATTCTCTTGTTCTTTTTCTTTTTTACAATGAATCAACTTTTAGATATTTAAATTTGCCCTAATTTTCTGTTTTATGTACCACTAATTTTGGCTCTTTATTATTTTCTTCCTTTTACTTTGCTTTTAATTTATTAATATTTACCTAATTTTTAAGGTAGAAACTTAAAAAATTCATTTTTTACTGTTTTCTAATATAAGGCCTTGAAGCAGTAAATTATCCTCTGTACAGTTAGCCATGTTCCACAATTTTTATATATTATGCTATACTTATTGATCATTTGCTTTAGAAAATGTTACCACATGAATGCAGGGAATAGATTGGATACATGAGAACTCTGCACTTTCTGTACACTCTGTAACCAAAAACTGGTTTGAAAAGTCAATTAAAATATTTTTAAAATGTTGTTGTTGTTGTTGTTATGTGCCGTCGAGTCGGCCCCGACTCATAGCGACCCCTCCTTGGGTTTCCGAGGCAGTATCACTACGGAAGTAGATT